AATACATCTCATATTACTGATTTACTGATAGACACTAAAAACAATATTAATTCGAAAAATAAGTCATGCAGCCTTAAAACTAGCTTCGACTAACATTTCCTTTATTTTTCGCATTAACTATCGTTTCGAGAGAACAACGTTTAGGAATCCAAGGCAATGTGAAATTCAATGAAAACGTCAGCTTAACTCATATCATTGTGGGAAAATTCTTCTTCTACCAAACCTTAATCACCTAAAACGAAATTGTATGAATACCTCTCATATTACTTATTTACTGGTAATCTCGAAACTCTACTCAACTATGAAAAATACGTCTATTCTTACTGAAATACACTTTCCCTTTTTTCACAAGGTGTAGATGGGAAATTTAGTGCAAACATCGGTTCTCCCCTGGGACAGTCGGCTTTAGTCTCTTTGACGTACCAGACAAGCATACATTTCAAGATGGAGCAGGCCACCTTAATCTTACACAGCTTTACTGGGAAACTTTGCCTTGATTGGCTCATGTGTGGTTGAAGGCCTACTGAGAATGGGTGAAGAGGAGATTATGCTTCTCCCTCGAGACTGTCATCCAACATGAATCAAAATGGCCTTTTTGACATTGTGCATTTTAAAATAAAATCATGACTTTCCTTTATTTTGTAAAGAACAGTTGGGTTCCGAGGACTGTCTCGTTTCAGCATTGTTGAGCTTATTTTCATTTCGATTGCAAATGTTCTGATGACGAGGTTCGAAGGTCAATCTGACCAAAAGACGATGCCAGACTCTTCTTGACCAGCTGTCGATTGGCTTCACTAAAATATGCTTGTTGATGCTTTGACCCGATGAAAATACGTTAAACTTCTATCCGTCGTATGAAGGGCATCAGCAAAGCAAATAGTACCATCCTTGCAACCAGATTAAAGTTAACGAGTCAAGAAACCTCGTGCTCATTTTGACGTAGGAGTAGGGCAATATTTCCTGCATGTATCCTATAAACTGTTGGAAGTGACGATGGTAAGTCGTAACCGACTCTGGATTGCCACAAATCACTGCGGACTCATCTGCAACAAAGTATGCTGAAGATCATATTTACTCTCTTGTCCCTTTCTAGTTGTCATACCGATGGGTTAATTTAGTTCATTTGTGTACACTTTCAGACTGAGCGCATCAATTGCCCGGCCGAACCGAATAGTTTGACCTCCGCGTCTTCTTCATTCGGCCAATTCAACGCCTTCATCTCAGAAGATTCCCATCTTCTGCACGCTGTGCCCACGTCACGACAGTCTACCAACGTCCTCTCGGCTCGAGCCTCACAGACGCTTCCAGTTTCTACACCCTTTTTGCAGACAAATCAGACTCCAGACCTCCTGAGAGGCACCACAGTCTCAGAACTTTGTGGTAGAGATCGGGCAGTCCTGCCGAGGGGTACAACTTGCTCAGGTCCCGGGGGCGAATGTGAATCTAGCTGCTGGGGACCCACGGGCTCGAACAACTCCTCTCTGGCTCAAGGGCTCGTCGACCACCGGCTGGAATCCACGATGGCGGGTAGGGTGAGTAGCCGGGCATTTGTACCCTCTCTCAGCCTCATTCGGACCTGAACTGCCACAGAATCTGGTCGTTTGCGATCCTCTTTTCAAGAATATATCAGACTTTTGATTAAAAAATGATCACATTTTGCTCATTTAATCTCATTTATGCATCACTCGTGTCGTTTTATGCTGACTATCTCAAACTAGCGTGAACCAATTTTTACATCTTTTCCCAACTTTAGCATCAATGCAAAAAGTGAATTGACCGTTTTTGAGTAGATGCACACTCAGACGAGCGTCGTTGTGGAAAAAGAACCAAATTTTCTTGCGAACAGTATTCATCATTCGAAAGTATGAAGACCCAAGATGGTGTGGCTTTTTGTGTGGTCGCAGTCTTCTTCCGTTGTATAGCAGTTGTTTGACCTTGTTTTCGCAACATGGTCCGATTGGTAGGAAGACTTAGAGGAACGCACCTAGTCCGGAGTCCATTGTGTGCATGATCATTTTCAAAGTTGAACCATGGACGTGGTACATTCCTAAACGTTT